GAGTTTTGGACATGATTTTGGAGTAAATCTTCGCAGTAGCGATTGACCGCAAAGTAAAGCTACCGGAAATGCACAACCCCACATCCGGTCTCAAACCAGGAAATTAGCATTTTCTCGTGCACAGGGTCTGGTAGATGATAAACGCACACTGGCCCCCTCGATGGGAAATTTGAGTATTAACAGACTAACAAGACGGAACAGTCGACCGACATAAAGTATTATGCACATTGTGCAAGAAGGAATTTTCTTTTTACCGAACACTTCCAGCTTAAAATATCACATTAACGCGAAGCACACGTTAGTCGGGGATGCTGCTAGCACTTTGGCTAACGTGTCACCCAGCTTGCGACAAACCACTCACGGAGCTTCGGGGGCTCATTAGTCTACCTCGGACATATTGACTGACACAGTTACCAAGTGGATTGCACCAAACTGCAGACCTGTTAATGTAGTTGAGAACACGAGCTTTACATAGATTTGGTTCCTTGTTTCAAGGACATGAAGTGCCTCTCCAAGAGTGACGGAGAGAGAGGATAAATGTCTACAGAGTTTTTTGTTAACATGTTTATTGAAAATCTTGAACATTCATGTTAAGTGCGTATATTTTCCCTTTTTTCTCCAGTCTGTTTGCTCATGCAAAATGATTAATGTAGAATTAATGTAGAATAAAAATGAATGATATTTAATCGTAATTAATTCACAGTAACCCTGTGATGAATCTGATTAAACATTTTAATTGTTTGAGAGCACTAATATATATTATATATTAGTGAATACTTAAACTTTCTAAAAAGTTGTATTTCACAGGAGAGAACCTGTGCTAAAAGACTGAAGAAAACTATTGAAATTCTCTTTGAATTTAAGCATACATCCTCTGTGTTGTTTCTGCATTTACTTCATTATATTGCATAAATGTCAGTTACAAGCTTAAATATAAAGTTGAAAAAATGTAATTGCAGCCAGGCTATTGATCAAGTAATTGCGATTAATTACAGAAAATTGTGTGATAGTAGTTAATTTTTTTTAATCTATTGACAGCACTGATTTTTATGGTTAATATTGACAACAAATCTGAATAAAAACCTGACTTGTATCTATGTTGCTATTGACTCTGAACATTTGTAGCCATTATTCAGAGGAGGTTTATGTGAGAATCAAACAATCTGGTGTCTTAGCTCAACACAAAATACTCTTAAATCAGCCAGCTCCTGAGTACAAAGGTCGTGCCCAATTTGATGTCCAATTGCCCCCATGAAGGAACAGTGCAGGTAATAGTCCAGTAAATTCAGAGAAAGCAACTGGGCTCAGGTTTCCTGTCTCCTGCACGCTCCAGGCCTGGACGATTCTCCTGACATCTGGAGTGTGAAATCTGGTTATGTCAGCTTTAAACTTCTTGTACTGTGTCATTTGAATAAATGTCCTCAGCCTAAAGATGTGGAGCTTTCCAATAAGGAAAAAAAAAAAAAAGAGCAAAAAATATGGTTATGTCTAGGAAAGAATTTAAAATCTGTGTTGCAGAACTTTGATTCTGGTCTTTCTTACCCCAGTAGGCCTCTCATGTCATGACCCATTACACCTCCTGATCCCCGGCTTAAGACTATTTATGGTCTGCCGAATGTATTTCGGACTGTTGTGGAGAAAATATAAGCAATAAAAATGTTTCCACCTGGGCAACCTGAAACTTTTGAAAGACCAAAAAGTAGACAGCTTTGAAACAAATGTCAGAGTTGTAAACTTAATCTTAGCAATTTAGTTCAGCTTAATCAGAATTATAGTGTCTCCTTTAATTTCCACCACTTGGGCAACAAAAGGCTGGAGGAATACTTTGGAACGTAAGAGGTTAATTGGCAACAGGTCCGTAACATGACTGGGTGTAAAATGACTGTTTTAGAGAGGCAGAAGTAACAAGATTATTTACAAATTGTGGAATAATTTCAGAATAATAATCCTCAATGTAAAATTGTGACATTGTATATCTCATTTACCTTGCACAGAATCATCAAAACATTATGAGAATCTGGAGAAGTCTCTGTGAGCAAGGGTCAAGGCCAAACTAACTAAATAAATAAATACATTGGATGCCTGTGATCTGCAGGCCTTCAGGTGATGCTGCGTAAAAAAAATCGGCATGAATCTGTCCTGGAAATCACTGCATAGGCTCAGTGACTCACTGTCACTGTGAACACAGCTCACCGTGCTATCCACAACTGCAGGTTAAAGCTCCATCGTGCAAAGAAGAAACCGCATGTGAACATGATCCTGCACCATCATCATCTTCTTTGGGGCAAAGCTTGTTTAAAATGGACTGAGGCGAAGAGGATCATTGCATTCTGTTTTTATTTAAATTCGTCCCACCTCTTTTGTAATTGTAATTGTAAAATAGAAAAGCATAACAGGTCCCCTTTCAAAAAAAACCTGCAGGTCACACAGACAGAGCCTGTGTGCCACACCTTATTCCTTCTCCCTCTTTTTCTGTCGCATCTTCTCTCATCTTGCACCTTGCCTTCTCTCCCCTCCTCCCTCCCTCTGGTCGCCTACTTTCTCCACTCTGGGATGATTAAATAAATACCCGACCAAACAAGATAAAGGCCCATCAGCCATCGTCACTCATCACTTGCAGAGGAGTGAGGGCGACTGCCGGCAAACAGTGAGGAAAATTAAGGGAGGAGAAAACAGAAAGAGGGATGGAAAACTGAGCAAACAGAGCCACAGAGGAGGAGGTCCAGAAGGAGAGAGTTTATGTGAACGGCATGTAGAGAGAAGGCTTGATGGCTGATGAAGAGTCATTACACCCATTAGGCGTCTTAACTATCTTGCACACTCCTTCCTCTTTTTCCTGATTTTCAGTTAAAATCCTCCAGCTCTACTAATCTGTATTCATCTCTTCCCGTTTCTCCCTCTTTCCCACCAGCAGGCTCGCGGTGCACTGAGCCTATTCTTGGAGCTACCGCATCCCCTCGCTGCGCTGGTGAGGGTGAGAGAGAGAAAAGCGAGTGTCTGTGTGTGTGCGTGCACCCCATCCTGATCTATTAATACCCTCTCTCTAGTTATCGCCTCCTCTCTCCACATCTGTGTGACGGCCAGTGTCTGCAGGAGGGTGTGACTGCCCAGACCGTGTGTAGATTTACCACAGAGACTCCTCTATAAATACAGTCTCTAGAGATCTCTCGCTTTTCATCTTCACTGCAACATCTGCAGCAAGACACAATGACAAAACAAGGATGCGTGCACACTTACAAAAATCAATTACTAAGAGTGAAATCAGTTCTTTCTCTGCAGTTACTACTTGATAATTGGGGTGGGGCATTGTTGTAACATGCGGTAAGAGGTGTTATGGAAAACACTGCTCCCATGCTTTCACATGGCTCCAAAAAGGATATCAGTGCCACCGCTTTGTTCCTGAAGTCTACCACCGTGTAGGTGCTCACTAATGGGTCCACAAAGCCGATCATGTGATGTGTGCATTGGTTGCGCTCCTCAGCTGTCACCTTATTAGTGACAATGTCCAGGCCCTGGTACACCTGAAGGCACACAAAGAAAGGAATCAACAGGCAGGAAAAACTACAACATAAAATAAAAATATAAATAATTAGCCATTACAAAAACCATTACAGGAGGTATTACAGGATAATTCAAAAGGGGAAGTTAAAATTCCTGGAAGATAATTAGTACTGCAACATAATTAGCATTATTGAGGTTTCTTGTTTAGCGTCATGTGCACATTGCTCATGCACATACAACCACCGGTCTTGAGGGAAAAATGTGTGTTCCCTGACCAGTTGGCTGGTGGTTGCTGGAGGTTCTTAGGTGAAATAGGTTGTACCAAAAACCTCCTTGCGATAGCTTTGGTTACTATCAGACTGCTGCGATCACCTGCAGTTTGCATGGAAGACACCAACATCTCCACAAACACTGACTACTAACCTACCCTCAGTAAAGCTTGAAAAAGTGCAACACAAACTGGAAACTGAGAATGCAGCCAAAGTCATTCAAAAGGAACAACCTTGTACTCTGAAGGGAACAGTCTCTGTTTGCAGACAAGTAATCCCCCATGGAAACTACGATCAAATAGGGTAATCTGCCTGCGACCAAAACAAAGCACTGTATACCAGCGGTCCCCAACCCCCGGGCCATGGACCGGTACCAGTCAATGAGTCATTTGGTACTGGGCCACGAGAGTTGAGGCTCGGGTGTGAAATGTAGGGTTTACGGGGTTTTATCTGTTTATATCATTATTTTTTAGTGTTTTTATCGTTAACTCTGTTTCTCTGGGTCTTTTCGTGCGTTATGAATAAAGCTTCTTTTTTTGGGTACCGGTACTGGTTTTATTTTGTTGTATTTATCAGCGACACCTTAAAGGTCGGTCTGTGAAAATATTGTTGGACATAAACTGGTCCGCGGTGAAAAAAAAGGTTGGGGACCGCTGCTGTAAACCACTTTGCTACCAAGTTTGCTTTCATTGTTGGAGACAACGACTCTATAAAAAGACAAACTTTTCTACATTCATTAGATAGAAAACATACTTTTGTTCTTCATGAAGGTAGCCATTTCAGATACTTGCTGTCTAGCTAAGTTGCAGCTAGCCAGCTGACAGCATCCTTGTTGAGCAATAAATGTAACTCTGATTTTATATCTGACCTAGTGCAAAAAAAGACATTTGAGGGTAGCTTGGGGTGAAAGACTATTTTTGAATATGGTCGAATAGTTTCACGTAATTACAGAGTAGTATTATGTTTAAAAACCCTAGGTAATAACTCCTAATGCTAAGAAATTGCTTGATAACCAATGCAGCAACTAGCTGGCTAACTTTAGCCTGCTTGCCCGCTAACATAATTAGCAAAATACTACATGACGCATACCGGTAAGTGTTTGGTGGTGGTGGGGGGGTCTTCTCCTAATTTGGAGTTTGTGTTATGGTCTGCATTGGGTACCAGTTGGTAATTAGTGGACTCCATTTCAAAGCTAACATTTGCTAGCATTGGTCACAGCTGACTTAAGGAGCAGGAGAAAGTCAATGAGGCAAAGCACTGAAAAGCACCACATCACCACAGCCAAAGTCTCTCCCACAGAAATGAGTCCACAGGGTGTCAGAAGTCACAGTGAGAGTCTGGAAAGGTTTCTTTTTTTTTTTTTTAAACTTACTTTACAATCTAGTCAGACATTTACAATAAAAGGGTGTGTTATGTAAAAGTTACATAGAGCATGCTGAAAACAGTATTTCAGGCTATATTATGTGCTGTAAGAGCGCATGTTTATTGAATGTTCTCAATCTGAGAAATTATAAAACCCAGGGCAACACAGCAAAAATAGCTTCTATAAAACAAATAGGGTCGGGGATTGAAATCTGGGCTAGTATGAGACTGTGCGTGTGTCTTTCAATGTCAGAAGCTGGTCACAGGGCTATTAAGGGAAAGGAAGGATGAGTGCTGTCCGTCTTCCATGTCAAATTGCTCTGGCCATCCCTGCAAATTATGACACGCATCTCCCGTCAGCTTTACATCACCCAGCGATGGCGCTCCCTCTTGGAATGTGACAGCTGGGTGTCACACAGTTGTCCGTCATGATTTTCACACTCGAACAGAGTTGAGAGTTTTAGAAAGGGATATCTTGGGATACAGAGCACATTTCTTGCTAGGCTTCTCTTGTTAGAAGCTGTGTTCAGCCTTTTAAACTTCAAAGTCGTTTTCTCCAGCATTAAAATGTCTGAGATGATCACGCACATCAAAAGCTGATGCGCTCCCTTTCGGTGTTCATGTGCACTCCATCTGCAGTTACTTTTTACATGAACTGAGATGTTTTTAATTTGCACTGAATATGTTCACCTTCACATATGTTTGTACAAACCAATTATTTCCCCCCATTTGCAATTACAGTTCAGTTACAGAAGTCATTTGATGACATAATATCTAATATTTTCTGGATCACAGAATAAGGAAACAAAGAAACTTGAATTCATCCATTGCACAAGTGCATCATTAAGCTCGGTAATAATCAGACACAAAAAAGAGACAAAAGATCAAGAGATCATTACAACCGGATCAAGTCATAAAATGCCCTGAAAGAAAAGTAACTCATGATATTTATCGTTCAGCAGAGTTGGAGCTCCTGAATGATGCAGTTTGGTTTGCTGTTCGTTAGAGAGTTGTCAGGTCTAATAGTATTTAACATTTTAAAGTTTTCTTGCAGAATTACTTTAAGTGAAGAAAATTTGTCCTGTCCTGGCTGACTGTGCTGCAAGCCCAGACACGGTTAAAAATGTCATTTTAATGGGTTTTCAATTGAGCTAATGTCCATTTAGGTTCTCAGTCATCTAGGTCATGGAAGTCTGAGTCCTTGAAAAGAGAGCAACCTTCAGGTTAGAGAAGATGTTTAACCTCTTATTATCCAAGGAGTTTCTTGAGCTCCAAAACAACTGATGGAACCTGAAGTCCCAGGTACTTAACCCCTAGTGTGGTTGTCTCCTTGGAGGTCGTCCTGGGGGCCAAGGTGTTAAACGCTAACGCTGCCCAACCTCACCATCACACACCCCACCATTATCTTCATGCACCTGGAAAGGAATCTCAAGACTGCGCTATAGGTGGGTGATAGCTGGTGCTCGACAATCTCTGTTGAATGATGGTCATTCACAGTGGGCGTACATGACCTCCTTTACGCTTGAGTAGAATTACGGGGAAGGCATTCGGCATCTACCTGCAGCGAGTATTTGTTGTCAGATTGGGGCAGTGGCAAAAACATCTGACAACCGGTCTAGCTTACAAACAGCTAAAGTTAAACCGAATGTCAAAAACAATAAAGCGTCTACTGCGGCCACTGTTTTTGCTTTTCATTTTTGATATTTGATGATTTTTTTAATGCTTCTCTGGTCCCCGGTGAATGCCGCTGGCGCGCCCCTTCTTTATTACGACCTACTTATCACACAACCAGCATTCAACCAATGCATAGGCCATCTGCATCCAACAACATGTGGTTGGAATTTTGGACGACTACACGGTAGCACGTTTGTGGAGGGTGAAAACCCCCTTTCTGCACGCTGTCCCAACAAAAACCTGAACGCAGATGGACCACAAATTGCATTCAGGAGTGCTTGGTGGGACAAAGAGTACTCCTTGACTGCCACTGGAAGGTAAACTTGGGGTGATCAGGGCAGATATTCCCTCTAAAGCAGAGGGGAAAGAGAAGAAAAAGGAATAAAGAATGCATAGGCTGGTGTATGGATGATTGATGAACTCTTGAAAGATACATTGACTTTTCACATAAGTTTCCTATACTTCTGAGCTGTCTCATCTTTTCTTCTCTTTTCTCTTTTTCTTACTACTCCGACTCGTTCAACAGCGAATCTTTGGTTTTGTAACGTTCATCATTTTTCACGGCAGGAAAAAACTGCTCCCAAGTGAACGTAAAGAGTGACTTTATCCATTTGTCCATTCATGCTAAACAAATAACACTTGTGTGTCCATTTGGGAGGGTGCTTTAGTCTTAATAGCTGGCTGTCTGCTTTGATTAAAGGCTGCATTTTCCTATGCTGAAATACTGAATAATAGTGCGTTTCACCAAGATTTTATTTATATATATATTTTTTGAACTCAGCCTTCTGGTTTTATGTGGACAGGATTTAGGTCCACTGGTAATTTTTGACTTGAAAGGGTTTCACAAAGTTTTCCTGGCATCTTCAGGGGGATTCACTTTCTGAGCTACAATCACATACTCTGAATGGATGACAGTAGACTACACACAGATGCTGTGCAGAACGTGGCCTCAGGGCTGTATTTATATGATAAAGTGGTGATGGCGTGTGGGAGGAATGATATTAGCCACCACTGCCTCTGTCTTACGTGAAAGCTTGTTTGCCATATATGTACTGTTCATCATCAGCAGACATATACACCACTACTGGTATACCAACGTGTGGCAACGTAAAGGCAAAGCCAACTCTGAGTATCTGAACATCTCCAATGTGTGTTAGGCAACCACGTCTTAAAGTCTTTGGAAATCTGCTATAGGGTCGGAATACCATTTTTCCCCAAAGCTATTCCTTCCTGATAACCACACCGATTTATTGGTGAGACAATATTAGCCGTTTTCCGATGTATCAGTGTCTGGATTTATAACAACTGATAAACCAAATTTTAAAAAGTAAAGAAGAGATGGGAGGAACACCCCCAATCCAAGTTTTGAGTGTTGGCACGCCACAGTTTGCCCACCAGAGGGAACCAAGCAAGAATCAGGCAAAGTGTAAACAAGTTAAAAAAAAAAAACAAAACCCTACACATTACAAATGTTCTCGAGTTCTTGTAACTGGACACACTCATTAAATAAGGTAGAAATAAAGAAGTGAAACAACTACATTCTAACTTCCTTACCTTTGCAATTTTTAGAGTTTTGGGGCTGTTTCTGTTTCCATTTAACTGCATCTGTAAGCTGTATTCATGAGCGTGTCTCAATAACTAGCTTATTGCATGATGCTGCTTCCAATCGTTCTGCATTAATTTGGGGTAAAATATTCCAAATCTACTCGTCTTAT